CCCGTCGCGCCCCCCCCCCCCCCCCCCCCCCTCGTCGCGGCCCCCCCGTCGCGCCCCCCCGTCGCGGCCCCCCGTCGCGGCCCCCCGTCGCGGGCCCCTCGTCTCGGCCCTGCCCCGTCGCCCGGCACGCCCCTGTCCCGGACCTGTCGCGGCCCTGCCCCGACCCTGTCGCGGCCCTGTCGCGGCCCTGCCCCGGCCATGCCCCGACCCTGCCCCGGCCCCGCGCCCCTCATGCCTGTCGCGGCGCACCGGGGGCCCGCGCACCGCCCCCCCCCCCCGCGCCCCCCCCCCCAGGTCGCCACGAAAGGCGACGGGAGGGGCGACCTGGGGGGCCGCGCGTCGCCCCTTCTTCCGCCTGTTCTGGCGCCCTGTGAGGCCGCGCGTCGGCCCCCGTAATCTCCCCCCCCCCCCCCGTAACCTCCCTACCCGCCATCCCGCCCTGCCCTATGTTAGGGTTTGGGGGTGGCGAGTAGGGGGTGGCGGGTGTGTGGCATCACCTGCTCCTCCTCCTACTTCGTCTCCCACTGCTGCAGCTGCCGCTCAGGGGGGTGGGTGTGTGGGAGTCGACGGAGTGGTGCTAGGGGGTGGAGTGTGAGTGAACCTAGGGTGCAGCACGGGGTGTGTGAAAGGGGGGTGGGATAGTTTGGGGAGGTTGAAGGGGGGTGGCCGCCGTGAAGCCCGCAGCTCCAGTCGCTCGTGAGACCGTTGCGCCAGTCGCCCGTGAGCCCGTTGCGCCAGTCGCCCGTGAGCCAGTTGCTCCAGTCGCCCGTGAGTCCGTTGCTCCTGCCGCTCAAAGTTAGCCGCGGAGCCAGTTACTCCAGTAGCCCGTGTGCCAGTTGCTCCAGTTGCCAGTGTGCCAGTTGCTCCAGTTGCCCGTGTGCCAGTTGCTCCAGTTGCGCCGTGTGCCAGCAGCTTCAGCTGCCGCCCACTACCTCCTCTCCTCTCATAGTCCCTCCTCCTTCACACTTGCCCTCTGTGATAGCTTCTAGCTTTGCTTACTATTATTGTGAACTATTGCTTGCTTACTTGTGCTCAGAATGTGTGGTGACATTGTGATCCACCCTGAGCTTGTCTTTTGCTTTGCTTTGCTTCTTGTGCTGATTACACCCCACTTTGGCTATGGGGGTGTGTCAGAATGTCATATTTGTCTAGCCTGCAGTGGGGTACTCAATAGTGAGTACAGCCCAATCTAGGGTTTCCTATATGTACTCAACTGCTTGCTAGTGCAATCATCCTCTTTCTCATTTCCAACTATCATTCCTCAATTCTTTCACAAAACATCGTTAGCTGCATGACAAGAACGACGGACTCCTGCATCACCGGATCACCACCCCACTACTCACCAGAAGACCAACAATGAAAGGACTCCCCGCCGTGAATCACTGGAGCCCAATCCGACGTATGCAGCTATTTCCCAAAGCGAGCCGTCTGGGCAAGACACCTGGTTCTTGGATAGTTGCTGCGGACAACATATGTGTTCCTCAAGCCGTTTCGTCCAACAAAAGCATCAACTTCAGCGCGAAGTCGTCATCACTGTGGCCAACAACCAGAACCTGCACACACAACGACAAGGAGTAGTACAACTTCAGTCCTGAGAGACTAAGTGTTGATTGCAGAAGGGCTTGGCTACAACTGACTGAGCGTCAGCCAACTGATGGCGAAGGGAATCCATCTTGAAGCAGACAGCGCCACTCAGGAGTTCAAGCTATTCCACGGTAGAGGAGGACTCTACATCGGCAAAGCGGTCTTGAAAAATAACGTCTTCGTCCTCGACTTTGTACCAGATCAAGGAACCGCCGATAGCGACGCCATCGTCAACTTCGCCTCTTGGACGCACCCACCGGACCTCAATCCTGACTTCAGCCCCGGAGGGTTCTGGTATTCACATACCATACATGAAGCAGAAAGAACACGGGCATTAGCAACAATCCGACAAGAAGAGACAACATCGACAGTAGCAGAGACAATATCGGCAACACCAACAACTCTTACAACACCAATCGCGAGCTCTTGGATGGCACCAACAATTATCGACGACACTCCACCGACTCCTGCGCAGCAGCTAGCTCCCACTCCACGAGAAGTTCACAGAAGCGCCAACTTCACCGCCGCCTTTTACTCCAACTCCGACCTATACAGGCGCTCACCCGGACATCGTGCAAGTGAATCCCAGTGGCACGAACGACTGGGTCATCCAAGCAACACCACGTTAAACAACACAATCAAGGCAGCAGTGCTCGACAAAGACTCACTGGGTCGTGCGGGGCTTCGACCAAGAGCAAGGGCGAGACTTCACGGAAACATTCGCCCCAGTAAGCTGACATACCTCACTGCGAATTCTCCTCGCAATCGCCGCCATGAACTGGAAGAAGCTCCGACAAATCGATGTCGCCAACACCTTCCTCTACGCCCCCGTCGACGCTGAGATTTTCGTCGAACTCCCACACGGGTCCAACGCAGGCCCAAAGCAAATCTGTCAACTGGAGAAGTCGTTGTACGGGATGAAGCAGGCTCCAAGACTGTGGCAGCAGCACCTTCACACTCGCCTAATTCGCATCGGATTTCTTCAGCTACCACACGACCAAGGGATGTATCGATTGACGAAAGGCACCGACTACATTCTACTTATCGTCTACGTCGATGATCTTCTCTACATAGGCTCCACCGACGCTGTAACGACATGGTTTGAAGGGGAACTGCAGGGAGATCGAACTCTCACCGTCGCAACCACCGTGACACAGTACCTAGGACTGAACATCGAAGATGGCGACAACGCCATATACCTCAGCGCTGCTAAATACACGGATACTATTGCTAAACGCTTCGGACTCATCCCAACGGCTATCTCCACACCATACCGCTACACCAACGGAAATCGAAAAGGCTCAGCCCTACTCAAACCTGCTGGCGTCCGCGACTACCAAAGGAAACTAGGCTGCCTACTCTTCGCAGCCGTCACCTGACGACCGGATCTATCCTACTCAGCTAGTCAACTTGCTACCTACCTCAAGAAACCTGAAGCAGATCACATGCTTGAACTCGACCGAGCGCTTCACTATCTCGTCAGCACTCCGACGATCGGCCTCACCTACCACAAGACCAGCACCGCAACACCTAAGCTAATCGGTTATGTCGACGCCGATCACGCTGGAGACTCCGACAACAGACGGTCCAGAACCGGCTACGTCTACAGACTCGAACCTATCGGGCCTATCTCATGGCAGTCGAACAAGCAAGAGCTAATTGCTCTCTCGTCAGCAGAAGCAGAATATATCGCACTCTGCTCAGCAACCAAGGAAGGGCTATATCTTCGTGAACTACTGGAGGAAGCAAAATTGGCCCAGTTATGTCAAACTTATATCTGCTATGGTCTATTTAGGCTGTAGTGGGGTAGCTCTTAGTGGGTACAACACTTATGTGTTTCCTATATGTACCCATCTCATTTCTAGTTCATTCATTCTTTCGTCTATCATTCTCACATGGTATAGAGCTAGTTTCGAGATTTTTTAAAAAGGGCCCACCACTGAACTTTCTCCCCTGCCTACTTGCCGCGCGCTTCGCGCCTTCCCTTCGAGGCCCGTCACGGCCCCTGCGCCCGCCCTTAGAGCCTGCGCCCGCCCCGTAAGGCCCCTTAAGGCCTCGTTAGGCCCCGTAAGGCCCCTTTAGGCCCCGTTTAGGGCGCGGTTTAAGGCCCCGTAAGGCCCCGTTATGCCCCGTAAGGCCCCGTAAGGCCCCGTCAGGCCCCGTTCGGCCCCGTTTAAGGCCCCGTTAGGCCCCGACAGGCCCCGTTAGAGGCCCCGTACGGCCCCGTCAGGCCCCGTTAGAGGCCCCGTACGGCCCCGTCAGGCCCCATTTGGCCCCGTTTAAGGCCCCGTAAGGCCCGTCAAGCCCCGTTAGAGGCCCCGTCAGGCTCCTTCAGGCCCAGTTAGAGGCCCCGTAAGGCCCCGTTAGAGGCCCCGTAAGGCCCGTCAGGCCCCGTTATAGGCCCCGCACGGCCCCGTTATCGGCCCCGTACGGCCCCGTTATAGGCCCCGTCAGGCCCCGTTATAGGCCCCGTCAGGCCCCGTTATAGGCCCCGTTCGGCCCCGTCAGGCCCCATTTGGCCCCGTTTCAGGCCCCGTAAGTCCCGTCAGGCCCCGTTATAGGCCCCGTACGGCCCCGTACGGCCCCGTTATAGGCCCCGTCAGGCCCCGCTATAGGCCCCGCACGGCCCCGTTATAGGCCCCATACGGCCCCGTTATAGGCCCCGTCAGGCCCCGTTATCGGCCCCGTTCGGCCCCGTTATAGGCCTCGTCAGGCCCCGTTATAGGCCCCGTTCGGCCCAGTCAGGCCCCGTTAGAGGCCCCTTCAGGCCCAGCCGGCCCTGCTGCGGCCCTGTCGCAGCTCTTCCCCGACGCTGCCCCGGCCCTGCTCCTGAACTGCCCCGGCCCTGCTTCTGCACTGCCCCGGCCCTGCTCCTGACCTGCCCCAGAACTGCCCCGGCCCTGGCCCGGCTCTGCCCAGGCCCTGCCCCGGCTCTGCCCCGGCCCTGCCCCTGAACTACCCCGGCCCTGCTTCTGCACTGCCCCGGCCCTGCTCCTGAACTGCCCCGGCTCTGCCCCGGCCCTGCCCCGGCCCTGCCCCGGCCCTGCCCCTGAACTGCCCCGGCCCTGGCCCGGCTCTGCCCTCGCCCTGCCCCGGCCCTGCTCCTGAACTGCCCCGGCCCTGCCCCGGCCCTGCTCCTGAACTGCCCCGGCCCTGCCCCGGCCCTGCTCCTGAACTGCCCCGGCCCTGCCCCGGCCCTGCTCCTGAACTGCCCCGGCCCTGCTCCTGAACTGCCCCGGCCCTGCCCCGGCCCTGCTCCTGGACTGCCCCGGCCCTACCCTGGCCCTGCCCCAGCCTCTCCCCTGGTAAGAGCGCCGCGCTGCCGAGCCACACCGCCCTGCCGAGCTGCGTCGCCCTACCTAGCCTGCTTAGCCGAGTTCCACTGCTGCTACTGCTAGCCTGCTGCTTCTCCTGTCATGGCTAGTCTCAATGTTCTTACCTTTGATGCTGAGGGTCGGGCTGTTGACTTTGAGGTCTGTCTAGATGATCTGCAGCTTTTCCTACAGTGCGATTGCAAGGATGGTCTCTCACTGTTCGATCTCACTTCTGGTGCCTCTACTGCCCCTACTGCTGATGCTGACAGTACTGTTCGCTCGCAGTGGCTCACGCGCGATGCTGCTGCTCGTCTTGCTGTGCGCAACCACCTGCCGTCTACTGAGCGCGCGCACTTTAGCCAGTACAAGAGTGCTAGGGCTCTGTACGACGCTGCAGTTGCACGCTACTCCTCCACTACCACTGCTGCCCTCAGCCGCCTCATGCTACCGTACCTTTTCCCTGACCTTGCTGCCTTTGCCACTGTCGCTGACCTAGTTGCTCACCTTCGCACTAGTGACGCCCGCTACCGCGCTGCCCTTCCCACTGAGTTCTGTGCCAAGAACCCCCCCCCCATGTACATCACCCTTTACTACCTAGTCACCCGCCTCCCTGACTCTCTTTCTTCAGTCAGGGACCACTTTCTCTCCCTTTGCCCCACCGAGCTGACTGTCGACTTGCTAGAGGAGCGTCTTGCTGCAGCTGAGAAGAGTATCTTAGCTGTTGGTGCTTCTCGCGGTGACCGTCGCACCCCCTTCTTTGAGGGGTGTTCCCCTGTCCCCCTTCTCCCCTCTGTTGCCTCTGCTGCTGCTGTCGACCTCGTTGGCACTGAGGAGGTCGGCGCTGCGTCTGCCCCTAGTGGGCGACGCCGCACTGGCAAGGGCAAGGGAAGCAGGGGTGGTGGTGGGGGCGGTGGAGGCAGCGGTGGAGGAGGTGGAGGAGGTGGAGGTGGTGGTGGGGGTGGTTCCGGAGGTGGGGGCGTAGGTGGCGGCAGTGGCGGCCGTGGCGGCGGTGGTGGAGGAGGTGGCGGCGGCGGCGGCGGTGGTGGAGGTAGCGGAGGAGGTGGTGGCCCCGCAGCGTGGAGGCCTTGGTGGCAGCCAGCGTCCGCAGCAGCTGCGCACCCGTGAGACCCCGTCTGTTCAGCAGCTTCGTGAGTGGTATGCTGGACGTGGGAGGTCTGGGGGTGCAGGTCCCTGCGCGAACGTTCTTCGCACCGGCACTCGTAGTGGGGAGGTGTGTGGTCTCCCACACACCACGCAGCGCTGCTTTGGCCGCTTGACTGACGCTTGGCGTACCCAGTTTCCTGACGCTGTTGATCTTCCTCGTTGGCATGATCTGCTTCTGCAGAATGTGCCTATCTTTGATCTAGATTTTGATGCTATCCTTGCTGCCATGTATGCTCTTGCTGATATTACTGAGGGTGACTTTTACCTGCGTGTCCCGCCCGACCCGGGCACTGTGGCTGCTGCTCTAGGTGCTAGTGCGTCTGCTGCTCCAGGTGCTGGTATGTCTCCTCCCTCTGGTACTGCACCTACTGAGTCCTTTCACACCTTGACACTTGACTCTGGTGCTTCGCGCTCTTTCTTTAGAGACAGCACCACGCTCACGCCGCTCCGTCGGCCTGTTGCGGTCTCCCTTGCTGACCCCTCCGGGGGACCAGTCCTTGCACACTCCTCCACGGTTCTACCGTGTCCTGCGGCCCCGTCGGGCTTGCTGTCGGGACTCCACCTCCCCTCGTTCTCTACGAACTTGGTGAGTGGACCTGACCTCCAGGACGCGTGGGTTGACCAGTTCACCACTGGAGGTCAGCGTGTGACCCACTGCACTTGCTCTCGGACGGGCCGCCACCTGGCCACGTTCACCCGTCGGCCAGGGTCGAGTCTGTACACACTGACTACTGCGCCTCCTCCGGTCCCTGCGTCTGGTCAGGTAGCTGCGTCCAGTCAGGTGTTTGCTGCTGCGTCCAGGTCTAGTCCTGCGTCTGCCCCCTGCTCGTGTTGTCCTCTGGCGCACGAGACTCTCCTCTGGCACCACCGCCTTGGTCACCCCTCCCTGCCTCGTCTTCGAGGTATGGCCTCCCGTGCTCTTGTCTCTGGACTCCCCAGGTCCCTCCATCCCCTTCCTCCGGGGCTTGCCCCCACCTGTGTTCCTTGTGTCGAGGGCCGGCAGCGCGCCGCTCCTCACTCCTCCTCGTTTCCTCCGACTGAGGCCCCTCTGCAGACTCTTCACATGGACGTGTGGGGTCCAGCCCGCGTTCGTGGACAGGGTCACGAGCGTTACTTCCTGCTGGTCGTTGACGACTACTCGCGTTACACCACAGTGTTCCCCTTGCGCAGCAAGGGTGAGGTCACTGAGGTGTTGATCGACTGGATCCGCGGTGCTCGTCGCCAGGTTAGGTAGAGTTTCGGCTCCGACCTTCCTGTTTTGCGTCTGCACTCAGACAGAGGCGGGGAGTTTTCCTCCGACCTTCTGAGAGCCTTCTGTCGTTTGGAGGGCATCCGCCAGACGTTCACGCTTCCGGCCTCCCCGCAGCAAAATGGGATTGCTGAGCGCCGCATTGGCATGGTCATGGATGTCGCTCGTACGTCCATGATCCATGCGGCTGCTCCCCACTTTCTGTGGCCGTTCGCGGTTCAGTACGCTGCGCATCAGATCAACCTTCAGCCTCGTGTCTCCTTGCCGGAGACCACACCTACTCTGCGGTGGACGGGGAAGGTTGGCGATGCGTCCGCGTTCCGTGTCTGGGGATCTCGAGCTTTTGTCCGCGATACTACAGCGGACAAGCTGTCCTCCCATGCCGTTCCCTGTGTCTTCCTTGGCTTCCCTCCTGACGCACCCGGGTGGCAGTTCTACCACCCCAGCTCGCGTTGTGTTCTGTCCTCTCAGGACGTCACGTTGGACGAGTCGGTGTCGTACTACCGTCTCTTTCCCTACCGCACTGCCTCTCCCCCTCCCCCACCGCTCTTCCTTGCCCCAGGTACTCCTCCGGTAGACCCCCTCCCCCCCCAGGGTCCTGCCCCCTCAGGTGTGTCCCAGGTAGACCCTGCCGAGCCGGTCGAGGTAGCTGTCGACTCAAGTGCTGCTAGGGGTGCTGACCCTGTGGGTGCGGGGACTGGGGGTGCTGAGACTGGGGGTGCTGAGTCTGGGGGTGCTGAGACTGAGCGTGCTGAGCCTGGGGGTGTGGCGCCTGAGGGTACTGTGTCTGGAGGTGCTGAGCCTGCGCGTGTTGAGTCTGGAGGTGCTCTGGGTGTCCCGTCGCGGCGGGAGCCCCTCTCTCCACAGCGGCTTCGTGAGTGGTACTCTCGGCGCTGTCGGGTTGCTGCTGGAGGTGCTGCTGGTGCGGGTGCTGCTGGAGGTGCTGGCGCTGCTGGAGGTGGTGCTGGTGCTGGAGCTGCTGGAGGTGCTGCTGGTGCTGGAGATGCTACTGGAGCTACTGGAGGTGCTGGCACTGCTGGCGGTGGTGCTGGTGCTGGAGCTGCTGGAGCTGCTGGAGGTGCTGGTGCTGCTGGAGGTGGTGCTGGTGCTGGAGCTACAGGAGGTGCTGCTGGTGCTGGAGTTGCTGGAGGTGCTGCTAGGACTGGAGACCCTGAGGCTGAGGGTACCGGTTCTGTCTCTGCTGTTTCTCGAGGCGCTGCGCGGCCGCGGCCGTACTACGTTCCGCTTCTTCAGCAGGTTCTTGGCTCCCCACCTTCTCCTGGTCCTCCTCCTCCTTCCCTGAGTCCACCGCCTGTCCCGTCTCAGTCGCAGTTACAGCCGGCCTCTCCGCTGCCTGGTCCTTCTCCTTACTCTGGTCCGACTAGAGGTCTTATGGAGCGTCGTGAGCCTGAGTCGCGTCCTGTGTCGCCTGCGTCTCGTTCTACGTCGCCTGTCCGTTCTGTTCGCGCTGGTCGTGTTTCGCGTCCGCGTCTTCCTCCTGTCCCTGGCACTCACTCTATGACTCTGCGTCCTTCCACTGCTCCACAGCGTGTCCCTCTGCCCTCTCTTCCTGCGTCCTCTCTTCCTGACGGTCCGGACCCGGAGTCTGACTCCCTTCGTGCTGCTAGTCCTACTGTCACGCGCTTTCTGGCCACTGCTGTCACTGACCCCCTGTTTGAGTTCTCTGATGCGTCTGCTCTTGTTGCTGAGCTTGTTGACTTTGCTGCAGCCAGTCGCCTAGACCACGCCGCTAGTCTTGTTGCTGAGTCTGGGTCTGTGTCTGTCTGTCCTCCGTCCGTCGGGGGTGAGTGTGCTCTTGGCACGGACGTCCTTGAGGACAGGCAGGAGGACCTTGAGTGCTTTGCTGCTGCTTCACCTCATCTCGTGTCCATGCTGCTTGCCCCTGAGGGAGACCCGGATGCACTAGACATCCCGACCCCGCGCTCTTACGCAGAGGCGATAGAGGGTCCCTACTCCTCCCAGTGGCAGGCAGCCTTGGACGCAGAGATGGCTTCCTGGAAGTCCACAGGCACCTACGTAGACGAGGTTCCCCCACCTGGGGCGAACATCGTCAGTGGCATGTGGATCTTCAGGGTGAAGCGGCCGCCGGGTTCTCCGCCTGCCTTCAAGGCGCGTTACGTTGCACGTGGCTTTAGTCAGCGACAGGGAGTTGACTTCTTTCAGACCTTCTCCCCTACCCCGAAGATGACCACTCTTCGGGTACTGCTGCACGTTGCTGCTCAGCGTGACTACGAGCTCCACTCGCTTGACTTCAGCACAGCCTTCCTACAGGGCAGCCTGCACGAGGAGATCTGGCTGCGCCGCCCACCTGGCTTCACTGGGTCGTTTCCTGCTGGTACCCAGTGGAGCCTCCGGCGGCCAGTCTACGGTCTCCGCCAGGCGCCCCGTGAGTGGCACGACACGCTCAGGACGACTCTTGCTGCTCTTGGTTTTGCTCCTTCCACTGCTGACCCTTCTCTGTTTCTACGCACTGACGCTACTCTGCCGCCGTTCTACGTTCTTGTGTACGTAGACGACCTTGTCTTTGCTACTGCTGACACGGAGGCACTCGCCCACGTGAAGTCCGAGCTGCAGAAGAGACACACGTGCACAGACCTGGGTGAGCTCACAAGCTATCTTGGCTTGCGGATCACCCGGGACAGAGCACAGCGCACCATTACCTTGACTCAGTCACACATGGTGCAGCAGGTCCTTCAGCGCTTCGGCTTCACGTACTCCTCGCCACAGTCCACTCCTCTGCCTACCGGTCACTCGCTCTCAGCTCCACCTTCGGACGAGTCCGTAGAGCCGAGTGGCCCGTATCCAGAGCTTGTGGGCTGCCTCATGTACCTGATGACTTGCACACGACCTGACCTCGCATACCCTCTCAGCCTTCTGGCTCGCTACGTGGCTCCCGGCAGGCACCGAAAGGTGCACTGGGATGCTGCGAAGAGGGTGTTGCGATACTTGTGCAGTACATCGGGCATGGGGCTCGTGCTTGGAGGACGGGCTCGAGTTGTCCTCACTGGTCACGCTGACGCTTCCTGGGTTGACAACTTGGCTACGCAGCGGTCGTCACAGGGTTACACCTTCAGCCTTGGCTCCGGTTCTGTCTCCTGGCGGTCTACCCGCTCTTCTTCTGTTCTCAGCTCCAGTTGTGAGGCTGAGATCTACGCTGGGGCCATGGCTGCACAGGAGCTTCGCTGGCTCACCTACCTGCTGACCGACTTGGGAGAGGCGCCTCGTTCTCCTCCAGTTCTGTACGTCGACAACAAGGCCATGCTGGCCTTGTGTCAGGAGCACAGACTGGAGCACAGAACGAAGCACATTGCTCTGCGCTACTTCCTTGCTCGAGAGTTGCAGCAGCGTGGCCAGCTTCGTCTTGCTTACGTGGCCTCTCAGGCCAACACTGCTGGTGTCTTCACCAAGGCACTTCAGCCTTGTGATCATCAGCGTTTCTGTACTGTGTTAGGCCTTGTACCTACTGTGCCTCACTTGTTGACTTCTTGACTCTGCTTGTACTGTACTCTATATACTTATACCTGCATGCTTACACTTGCTAGGTTGTGTTCACTGTACTGTACTTTCCTTTATATAACTCTGCATGTGAACTGGCCTTATGGCCCTTTGCTTGTGCTCAGACTGTGTGGTGACTTTGTGATCCACCCTGAGCTTGCTTTGCTTTTCTTGACTGGTCTTGTGACCTCTTGTTCTCCCCCACTTTGCCTATGGGGGTGTGTCAAACTTATATCTGCTATGGTCTATTTAGGCTGTAGTGGGGTAGCTCTTAGTGGGTACAACACTTATGTGTTTCCTATATGTACCCATCTCATTTCTAGTTCATTCATTCTTTCGTCTATCATTCTCACAAGTTACCCAATTTCTCTCTCTTCTGCGACAACCAATTGGCCATTCGCATAGCGAACAAAAACAGGTTCGCGAATCGAACGAAGCACATCGCCCTTCGGTAATTCTTCGTGAAAGACGAGATCGAATAGGGAAGACTCGAACTATCCTACTGTCCCACATCCGAGATGGCAGCTGACTACTTGATCAAGAAACTCGGAAAACAGAAGTTCGAGTACTGCATGCTGCTGACTGGACAAGGACACGTCATCAGCAACGATCCTCTAGAAGCGAAGGGGAGTGTTGGAAACAAGTGATTTATAACGCTTCTGTCGTATCAAAGCTTCGACACAAAACGGAACTGACTACAGCGAAGAAGCACTCGAGTCAACCAAGGCAACCGTCGGAGGTTGCGCGAAGGTCAAAGGTCTCCGACCTTTGACCTGACAAAACGTACAGTGCGACAGCAAGGACACATAACTGACTCGTTACAGAGCAGTTACCCGAGTCGGCACTGTATCGAACCGCAACAGCAAAAACAGTTAAAATAGAACTTTTCATATTCCTTTGTAATCATATAAAAGCCTTGTACTTCTCTCCTATTATCAACTTATCTTGTTCTCACACACCAGTACAAGGTGGTTCAAGTAATTCTTCATTAAACGCTTCCGCTATTACATCCCTACGTCAACACCTGATCTTAGTCCTGAAATTTCCTAAGCAAGGCCCTAGGTATCAGACTTTTTAGTCTGATTCAGAGTCCATTCAGGCTTTTTTTTTAGATGTACCTTCTCTGATTTTTCAGAGTTTTTTTTTATGTATTGGCTGAAATTTCAGACGAATTTTATGACTGTAGGCTGAGCCCCAGCCTTGTATCGGGGGTGCACTCTTAAACGGGTAATGCAGGTGTTTCCGCCAGCCTAGCGGCGTGTTTCACTAACACTGTCAATCACGGGCTGGAAACGAAATTTTCCCGAGCGCGGCACCGCACAGTCGCGTTGGTACAGAAATGCTGTACTCCGGTTGAATTCCAGCCAATCGCGGCAGCACAGCATGCAGTGTTGGCAAGATTCCTTGCCAACACATAGCTTGCAGCGCGCTGCACCCGGACGACAGCACAACCATCCACCCCACCCCACCGTCCTCCTTGCCAACGCAGAGCTCGCAGCGCGCTGCTACTCTCACATCACCACATCCATCCACCCCACGCACCCCACCTTCCCTGCATACACGGCCAGGTGCCATGCATGCAGTGACCACCAGGGAGATGAGCGGTCCAAATACGAGGACCTTTCATCTTCCTCATCGTCGCCTTTCTTGAGGGTCACTCTGCTGTGCCATGTCTCTCTCGCTTCACATCAATTGCCTCGCCGGAAAGTAGTGCCAGAACCTTGTTTCAGGCTCCCTCTCCTCGACCTCGCAAAACCTACACTCGGCAGACTCAATGGCAGCCATAGACGCTGCCGCCGAAGGGCTCGACGATGACGAAGATGCCTATCGTCGCCCTGTTTCCGACGCTGTGACCGGCCTAGAATTTCTTAGATCAGTCTTTCCGAAGCATGTTCCACCGCCTGCGCCACCTTCGCAACCTAGCTCTAGTCGCACTCCGGTTTCCATGCACTCTGAATCTTTGCCCGAGCCCGTCACTGAACCCGTGATCGTTGCGCCACAGTCGGTGCCCGAGGAGGCGTCCGTTGAAGCACCGTCCCGTCCCGTACCACCGACGAAGCTGCGGTACCAACAGACCACGTTTCCGTGGGCAACTCCACCTCCTCCATCGACCGTTGAAGCTGCAGAGAGCGACGAACCTCCCATGCAGGACAGCTCAAAGCCCACTGACAAATCTCCCTCCGACAAGTTGGATTTGAAATACGAAGAAGCTCACTTTCGTTATAAGACAAAGTGGTCTACCGATTTCTCGTGGCTGATTCTAACTAAAACCACTTCTGATGCCCCTGGTTTTAAATGCAGTATATGCTTGGAGTTCGCGGGACTGACAGGCAAGTGTGGACGGCGTGGTGAGGGCGCTACCGACGTGCAGACGCAGTCCTTCAAGAAGCATGAAGGGACGGTGAAGCATCGATTTGCTCTGCAGCGGCAGGAGGACCTCTTGCAGAAATATGGGCGACAGCAGCGCATCGATCTACACCCGAAAGCGGAGGACAAGGAGATGTTGCAGGTTTCGTCGCTCGTGGACTCGCTGTACTTCATGAGCAAGTGCAACGAGCCCATGGACTCGTGGATTCGGCTAGTGCGCTACCTGGCGAAGAAGAAGGTGGCCGGGTTTCCAGAGCAGGGGTACGGCACGTACTATAATACGTAAGTATTGGCGTATTGTTGATTTTCTCTCCTTTTCGATCGCTAACTGCCTTTGTTTATTTTTTTGTACAGGTACGGCTTCGGGGAACTAACTCAGGCAATTGCAACATGGCTCCAAACAACGCAACTGGAACACCTTCTAACGAGCCCCTGCATCGGGATCACTCTGGACGAGAGCACCGACCGGCGGTGCGGCAAACACATGATTGTGTTTGCCACCTTTCTGCGCGACGGTCAAATTGTGACTGAGTTCGTTGCTCACCTTACGGTTGAGAAAGCTGACGCTGCATCCCTGTGTAGTTTGTTGCTTTCCCACCTCAGGGCTGTCGGCGTTGATCTCCGCCGTATTTCAGGAGTGAGCACAGACGGCGCCATGGTGATGGTGGGGGCCCACAATGGTGTGGTTGCTCGACTTCGGATGCTCATCCCCAACCTGGTTTCGTTCCACTGCATTGCTCACCGGTTCGTTTGTGTTTAATGCTCATGTGGAGACGTTGGTGAGGTTATTAATTATATGCTAATCTTGTTTGTTTGTACGATGTGTAGAGAGGCTTTGGCTGCCAAAGCTGCTGTAGAGGCTATACCCACGTTCAACATGATTGACGACGTCATCCGCGCCGTCGCTGAGTACCTGGGGCGATCATCACCGTGGCATCAACGATTCATGGAGCTGCAGGAGGTCTTCACGTCTACCAATCTCGAGGTGCAAGGGATCCACGAGGTGCGGTGGCTTTCAAGGGGTGCTGCAGTCGCCCGCTTTGTCGAGGTCCTCCTTGCCATCGTGGTGATGCTGTCAGAGTGGAAGGACCAGACGATTTACGAGCTCGTCACGTCCTACCGGTTTCAGTTCCTGCTACGGTTCCTCGCGGACGTTCTGGAGCTCCTCAACATCCTCTCCAAGGTTTTCCAGCAGCGGGAGGTAAGTAACTTGAGTACATGTATTGTGTTGTCTACACATGTACCCGTGTACTAACTCACTCTGCACTTTTGTGTGGCAGCTCGACTACCCCTTGGTGCATGCGCAGATTTTGCGCACAACGTCTCTCTTGGAGAGCCGGTACATCGACTACGGAGACGACTTCGGCGGCGGCCCCAACGAGCGGCTTTATCGCTTCATTGAGAAGCACGGACCGAAGGGGTCACCAGAGATGGTGGTGGAAGGCGCGTCATCAGATGGGAGCCTCAACTGCTTCAAGGTCATCCTACACGAGCGCAGAGTGGCGAACTATCTTGGGCCAGGTCATCACGACGCGTGTGTGGCGCTCTGCGCCGACATGGCCGAGCTCCTCGTCCAACAGCTCCAGTCAAAGCTCAGCGACCTCGACTCTCTTTCCGGCGTGCGACTTTTCATTCCTGACTTGTGGCAACCGAATTGGGAGAGGCACGCGCGGCAGGCACAGTGCCTTGAGTGGCTGTTGTCGTTAGTCACTCTGTTTCGCGCCGATGACTCAGACGAGATTCTACCAGGTCAGTTCATGATTGCACGCTCGGTCGACCGTTGAAAACGCGTCCTTTACTAATCCCATGCCTTGTCTTATCTTGCAGGCATTGACAAGAAGCGTGCCGTGAAGGAGCTGCGGACTCTGTGCCCAGTCCTGGCCAGAGCTCCTAAGAGCGAGCGTAAGTTCAACACGGGACTGGCTGCAATTCTCAAGACACCTGACTGGCAGCAAGCGTACCCCAACCTCGTCAGACTATGGGTGGCGATTGCAGTGCTGCCTCTCAGCACCGTCGAGTGTGAGAGAGGATTCTCTCGACAGAATCTCATCAAGACGTGGCAGAGGGGCAGTATCAAGGACTGTAGGCTGTGATCTGCTGTGTATGTCATTGCTAGATTATGAGCTAGATGTGCCTGGTGTAGTAGAAATTTGGCGCAGCTACAAGAAGCGCCGGCCAGTCACAGCACCTGCTTCTAGACACAGGGAGCCCCCAAGGGCTGGGAAGGAGCTTGTAGAGGAGCGAGTAGTTGAGCGGGCAGCTGTAGATACTTATCTGTCAGAATCTGAGTCAGATAGTTGAAATGTTTCTTTAATGAAGTATATAAGTCATCTGCCTTCAATTTTAGTCTAACTCTGAATGTTCAGCCTAAAAAAACCGGTGTTGTCTGAATTTCCAGCCTCAAAATTTCAGGCAACTCTGACTGACAGAGTTCAAAGAAGGGTGCACGCTGACCCATCAGAGTGTCCCAAAACGAATCTAGGGGCCTGTTCCTAAGGGCTTTTCTGAGCCCAACAAAAGGCTCACTTTTATCAAGATTGTCAATAGCGAGGATCTCCACAAATTAAGTAGGGGCTTGTGATTGGAAAAAACCTTGTCGCCCCTTTTGCTTATATCGGGGGGATTCGGGGGGGCTTATATCGGTGGGATTCGGTATTCAATTCAATGCTTCATTATTCAGGGAGCGCCGAGGTTGGTTACTGTGAAAGTCCCTGTCCATGATCCGCCAGCAGCAAGCGTGAGCGGGTTGCGGGCACAAGAGAAGCCGACACAGAGGAACTCGTCCCAGTCTCGTAGCCCACAGGTCTCATCTGCCGCGTGCACCGTCAGATCACCCAATCCGACGGCTGTGAGGCGAAATGACAGCCTGCGACCCTGAGAGAGGGGGATGGGTTGAGAGGGACTGTGTGTGTGAGGCAGTGGTAGGGAATGCAGGTATCATGTGACTCATTGGAATGGCCACAGATCGAGACTTCAAAACGATTATGAGAGCAAGGAGCAAAACCAGAGCTTGGAGAAGGCCCCAAAACTGTTAATTAACTCAGAAACTTTTTGACCACACCAGCCACTCAACCACTAACACCCCCTTGATGCTGCAAGATGCAACACCATCCAGCCGTGCGCTTGCACTCCCTAAGCACAAAGACATCTAGATTGGGGTACAGTCCTAGCTGGTGTTAAGCTTCGGGTCAAGCTCACTTGGTGTCAGACCCCCCCAAGGAGGTCTGACACGTACAGTAGACTTTGCCTCAGGCCCGTTAAGCCAACCTCGTATCAAGCAGCCTGGCCCGAAGCTAGACACTGGCCAAGAACGTACCCTCATAAAAAACCCTCACACACACACACGCACACACACCTCTTGCAGTCACACCGCTTACTCTGTCAAGGAGTGTCACCGAGCTAGGTCCATCCACAAACATCCGCTTTAGAGGCGCCTCAATATCAGCATAGTCTGCTCCCTCCACGCCCTCCTTCCCCCCCACCAACACGTCCCTCCACAGCCCCTGCAGCCGCACAACCATTTCCTTGTCATCTGGACTAACTCCTGAGCCTGCCCCTGCTGCCAATCCTGCTACTGTTGCACCTGTCCCTGCTGCTGCTGTGCCTGCTGTCGACGCTCCTACCTCTTGAAACCCAGCACTTCTCTCGACTTCCCCACTGCTCTGCTTCGTCCTGCCCAATTGCCCGAATAAACCTCCCATTCCCCATAGCCCTCCTCCTTCAGCCATCTCCTGCTGCTGCCGCCCCTGCTGCCGGTCACTACGACTGCCACAGTACCGCACTCCTTTGCAGCCAATCAGGCGAGCTCCATTGATGGTGGAGAGAGAGAGGTGGGCGGCAAGAGAGGGGGCGAAGAGGAGATCAGTGGAGGGCTGCTGAGGGGTGCTGGTGGGTTGTGAGGATGCTTGTGTGACCGCTTGTGTCACGCTGCTGCTGCTGCTTGTGGTGCTGGCGGTGCGAGCGGCGGTGTTTTGCACGCTGAGGGAGGAGGAGAGGGAATTGGGAGTGAGAGTGATGGTGAGGGCGAGTGAGGCGGTTCCTGACCAAGAGGAGGAGGCGGATGAGGAGTTTGAAGAGGATGGGGAGGAAGAAGAGGAAGGGTGTGATTCCGAATGTAATGACTGAGAGAGCACAACCTGCAGGGATGACAAGAGACAGTTTCAGGGAGCAGGGGCAAAGATGCAGGGAGCAGAGAGAAAGAAAGATGAAGGGTTTAGAGGCAAAGGGAGCACTGAGAAACCAAGAGGCATAAACGAGAAAAACGAAGAAGTAATAAGCTAGACAGGATGAAAATTGAGAGGCTAAGGACGAAGTGGAGGGAGTTAAAATGAGCAAGAAAAAGCGGGAGGAAAATATTCAATGAAGAATCGAAGCTGACAAGTGCCGCTGCAATCATGAGAGGCAGAGGGCCTTCACCTCCCCCTCTGTGTGTGCAACACTCATGGCCCAGCCTGAAGAGCTCTAGACTCCCACGGACAGAGAAGCAATGAAGGTGACACAGATGCAACATGTGTGGAGCCACATGGACTCTCCCTTAGGAACACCTCGACTTCTTCCGCCAAAACGTTTCCACAACACCACACCTCACCCACCTTCCCTGCTCTCCCTCTTCCTTCCCTCCCCCCTTTTTCCCCCATTCCCCTCTTACCTCTCACTCTTTCCCCACCCTCTCCTCCCCTTTCCCGCTACCCTCCCCTCCCAGCATCCACACCCATCCTTTCCCCTTGCCCCTCTCGAAGCCCCACCTTAGCCCAGCTCCCGTTCGGCGCGCTTGATGCTGACGTCACCTCCCACTCTCCTTGCGCTGCCAGCTCGCCAAGTGGCACCCTCCTGCCGCTGCCAGCTGTCAGTGCGCCACTGGCTGGGAAGCTGACGACGAGCCCCCCTCGAATCAGGTTGCATGAGCTGGGCGAGTCGTCGCCGTCCACGTCATCATCGTTCGTCGCCGCGTACAGGACCTCCTCCACCGCACCGTGCCACATCATCGCGCGGTACGATGTCACACGAGCGCCGTCAATGAGAATGCGACACGTGGACTCGTCTGACGTGGACAGCTCAACGGTCCGGATCCCCGCGGCGCCAGAGAAATGGACAAATGGCGAACCGTAATTCTGCTGAAGGAAGTATGGCGAGGCGCGACCGGGTGACGTGGCACTCGCGGAAATTCGGGAACGAACTCTGCTAGAGCCAGATATTCGGAGAATTGCTCCATCACATATCAACGGAGGACGTGTTGCAACGGGAATGAAGTGTCGTGGCGCGAGCGGTGATTGGAGGGAAGGGAATAAGGTACGGCCATTAGAAGACGTGTTCCACTGGAGATCACGTGAGAATGCGGGAGAGTGGTCGTTAGGTCTGTGCCTCGAACACACATTGCGGCAAGAGGACGAGGGAGAGGCAGAAGAAACGGAGGGGGCAATCGAGCCAACTGCGACCCGGTGAGACGCCGGCGGGGAAGCGCGAAGGAGATCCATGGAGATTAGCGATCGGTTGAGGCGATTCTACGAAAAAATCCTGGTGGCGACGACGGGAGTCTAGCAGACGGATGGATATGTGGCTTTATGCGAGGAGGAAGGGAGGAGCGACGCGGCTCGAATCTGGGATTCATATTTGCTGGGCTAAGTGAGAGGAGGATAATAAGGTGATAGGATGTTAGTGGGATGCGACGGGGTGGAGAGAGATTGCATTGCATACTCGGGGTTTGGCGACATCAGTTCACCATCCTCGTAATTGGTAGTGCAATATGAACTTTCTGGTACGGCTTACAGGGATGTATCATCAGATACGAACATTTTTGGTACAGCTTATAGGGATGTCTCAGCAGATACGAACATTTTTGGTACAGCATCGGGAAGTTCCTAGCCATGCTCTTTATTTACTGTACTGGAAATAATCACTTGTGGGAATTGGACTCTCACCTTTACATCCCTTGCCATTTGTGATTGATTCAACACGTGGTGGTGGCTATCTCTAATTTTAAGAACAGGGTGCCAGGGTTTAGAACTTTGGAAAATAGCCCCTCCATTATAATGAAAATATTTGTAGTGGTGCCTTCCCTTGGTAATGGCACACAGGTTTCACTCATATACCAAAGCATTCATGCTATGGGCATGGCACGATGTTCTTGATGGAATTTGCTTTGTCCATTCCATAACTTGATAGGGAGAGGAAGAGGTGTGAGGAAAGAAGTGAGGGTAGCGAAAGGAGAGGAGCACAGGGTGCTGGAAAGAAGTCGGGTAGTGCCACAGGAACACATAAAGGTCGGGGAAGGGCGTAAGAGATATGGAGAGAAGCGCGAGAAGCGGAGCATGCGATGCGAACGAGGAAGCACTAAGGAGAAGGGAACAACTGGAGGAGCGAGGGGGAGATGTAAGCGGGCAACGGAGGTATGAAATAGAAAGAAGAACAAAAAAAAGAGGAGCGGGAGCTGCTGTTGGGATGGATGAAGAGGAGAAAGAGAGGCGACGGAGGATGGAGGGAACAAAGAAGATGAGGGATGGAGGGAGGTGGAAAGGAGAGTGTACAGAAAAAGCACACAGTACTGAAGGGTCGCACGAAAAGGGAGGACGGGAGGAAAGTGTACAGAGGAAGTGCAAGAGACTAAGGAGACGGACTGGGGTGGACAGAGAAATAGGCAGCAAGGGGGAGGAGGATGATGGGTGGAAGGGAGCAAAGCAGTAAGGTGGGGAAAAAGGGGAAAGAAGAGGAAAGACATGGATGAAGATAGGATGGAATGAGGCAATCAAGAGGAATGTTAAGGAAAGGGGGGCAGGGACTAGAGGGACCTGGAAACGACAGAAGAGAATGGGAGGCACACAATTCCAAGGCAATTCAAACAGCAGACGAGCTTTTTCACAAGTAACAAAAAGGTCAACCATCACGGGGGACAAGGAAAGGTTTGTTCCAATACGAGTGAAGATAGGGATTGCTGCGTGTATAAATTTATTCCAAATAGAATGTACATGTACCACACGTGGATAACGTACACATAGATTGTAAGCAACTATAACGTCAAGCTGCCAGTGCTGCTTGACCCAGCTACATACCTTCTCAAACATTAGGCAGGAGAAAGAAATCCTTCAGACCTTGCTTGAAGCTATAGCCAAAAACGCTTAGACGAAAAGCAGTTAATGAGACCATCAGCAGCATCGGCATCCGTACGGAAGCAGGAAGGTGTGCATGTATGAAGGCAACTAGATGGCCTCGATGTGATCGACGTTAGGAGTGCGCCTATTGGTGGGAGCTTCAGCGAAGTCACTTCCCTTCAGCTCTGCAGATGTCTTGTCAATTGCTCGGTTCAGCTCAGCAAGCTTCTCATTCATTTTCCTCCGCTTCTCCTGAAACGCGAGCCATGCGACAAAGTGAGCTGCCTCGACTTACGGGGAAAAATGCGATCTCAAAGTGAGAGTTCAACCTACCTCGAGGTTATCACTCTCGCTAATCCACTTCGGAAGTTTCGGTGACGAACCCTCCTCGTTTGTCCCGAGAATGGCCTTTGAGATCTACCAGGGATGAGTGGGGTTTCAGGGGACAGTTTCTACACAAGATGAGGCAAGTGTCCATGAAATCACCTGTTGCAGAATAATCAAGTGACTAACCTGCGGTGCGAACAGGTAGCCGAGGGCACCGAATACAACGCCACCTAGAACGAAGCCAGGTAAAAACCCGCCTCCACCCTCTCTCCTGCAATGAATGAAGGTATTCGCAATGAGCCAGGCCGAAAAAAAAACACAACCAGCAAGAAGGCAACCACGTCGTAAATGAAACAGTGGCCCGACAAGAGGACACGGCATGTCACCTGTAATCAGAATCTGCCACAACAAGTGTCCGTGTTGCAGTCCGTCTGCTGTTGCGGGCTCTGGAAACCACCAGTTTCGGTGAAGATGTCAAGGACTTAGCTCCAGCAAGGCCTTGGAAGCTAGGGACCCCTGAAACGGTACCATGTGGAAAGGTAAAAACTAAGCGACGATGCAAGTCGGTACAGTGAACGTATGATGTGCACCGTTCTTACCTAGCGAGCTTTTGGGTGCCAGAAGGACGGCAGTGCTACTGGCAAATAACACTTGAGTGGTTGCCATGGCTGAAACAGCGGGAGATCTAGAGCTGGCGATGCGAGGGACAATACAGTGAGTGATGCTATGGAAAATGAAAAGGAATCTGGCTGTTTAGGTGATAAGACGACGCAGCGGGGGGCCAAGGAGATGGCTGATTCAATCTGGTGGTTTGATGTGGAAATCCCACCTGTTAGGCAGTTGCGAGACTGGCGACTTCGGCGAAGTCGAATATGTCAACCAATCTGGCAAACACGCTAGTGGTGTTCCTCCCAGTAACGCTCTTCGCAAAGCAGCCCTGGAGGCTCAATTTCGAGAAAGGTGAGTCTTGTGACGTGTTGTCACCCGAGAAAGCCCATCACTCTCGCACACGTGGCTGTGCATCGCTGTCACCAGATATCTGACCACCGTGGCTGGTAACCGCAACGCTATTGGCGGACGATTTTCTATTTCCTTGCGACACTGTATTGGCGAACAGATTCACTTCTTGCCGCGCTGTAACGTCCGCGAACCCAGTACCCGCTCGGGAATGGCTCGCCACGGCGTCGGAGATTCCGTGGTCCCATCTTTCCGCCTTCGCTGGTAGGGACATCTCAATTCTCGACAAGCTATTGGCTGTATCGTGCTGACAAATTGTCGGATGCTGACTCAGCGCAGCTGAATCTCTCGAGAATGCCGCCGAGTCGCTTTCCTCCAACACCCACCTTCTCGAACCTCGATATTGCCAACGCAAGACAACAAATGCATCAAAAAGCGGCAAACATCTTATTTTCAGCCTAGCCCTACCTCCTGTTCACCCCCTAACACGTGTCAGACTGCTTCCAGCTAGGCGGTAGCCACGCAGGACATAAAATTTCCGATCAAAGTTGCTTCCCGAGCCGCCGCGTTCTGTGATCCAGGCATCCTGTCCCAGCTCCACCAGCCACGCAGAACCCTAGCGCATTACGTCGTCCCCAATGGCGTGTCTAGCTGCTAGCTCCCAAGTCACATTCAGAGGCGTGGCTCTCTGCAATCCGCAGGTTCGCATCCGCATATACGCTCTAACGCCATGTGCTCTTCCGTTGCTCAGGCTGTTTCGAAGGACGCAACTTCAGACGCTGTGTCAGCCGCGTACCCTGAGCATTCTTGTACCACGCGTTAATTACTAAGGTTGTTTCCAAGGTCGCGCATTTCATCCTAACGGCGGTATCATGGTGAATGCAGGTTGTCAGCAACGCGAGCGTTGGTGGAAATGCCAGACGATCGGTGGTTCGCTGCAAGGTGGCCTCGCCTGGAGTCGAGAAGGCCGATGCCTCCGCGTCCGCCGGCGAGTACACGCCGACAAGCGACGCGTCCACAATGAACCTCATGTCCGGCGCCATCAACGCGCTCTTCGGCTTCCAGGTAGATTTGACATGTTTCGTAGAACTCGAAAGCGAGAAAGGAACTCTCAGTAGAAGTAGAAACAACTCGAAGGCATCCTGAATGAACTTCATGACCAGCGCCGCGAATGCGCTTTTCGAATTTCAGGTGCAATCGAGTCGACTGCAACATGATCCCGGTTGAGATCACACCGCCAGCTTGTCAAAGATAGGGGCATGTAGCAACATTAGAAAATCGAAACCTTCATGTACGCATGTTGCCAAGGTCGGATTGAGTGTTTTCTTCTCTCACTCCTTGTCCCCCCTCCGATCCCGTTGCTGTGTCGGCATCGCAGCCTTTTTTCAGGTTTGCAGCGGGAAAGGCGCGCGAGATGATGGTCAAACGAGGCGATGCCATCGGTTTCCCATGGGCGCCGCGTCTCGCGGAGCTCAAGCGGCACGACTGGGACGAGGAGCTGCGATTGGTCGCCGCCACGAGCCGCGTCCCCAGGGACGCCAGCGGGGAGTACGTCTACCCGGAGTACTACACAAAACCGTTCCACGCGTACGAAAAGGGTAACCTTTCGCTGTACGCGGCGCTGGAGGTGGAGCTGGCAGCGAAGGCTGTGCACGCCCCGGTCTTCGACCCCGAGGTAGGTTCCTACCTTTCTATCTTTCTTTACCGGAGGCTCCAGAACCAGTTCTGACTCCTCCAAACATGCTGAAGCGAACCCGGCCAGTGCATCTTGGAGAGGAAGCGCAGATGAAGGAGGAGAGGTCCATTGATTTAGCGCGTTACTCTAAGCGAGTGAGAGCATAGCACACACACCACAGGAAGCTGGTCGTTTTCTGGGGTCCCATCCCGTAAACACCTCTCTCCCTCTCCCCTCTGTCCCCTGTTCTTCCCCCCGCCCACCCGTTCCCGCCACCACTTCCCCCTTCCTTCCTCTCCTTTGCTCTCTCTCCTCCATCCCTATCCCTCCCCCTCGCCCTCTCGGCAGAGCAAGACGCTAGACCCCGAGGGCGACGCGAATCTGAGGAGGGGGTACCACGCGAAGCTGGTGGAGCAGCTGCGCATCCAGCCCAAGAGCATCGTCGACCTGGGCTGCGCGTCCGGCCTCAGCACCTTCGCACTCGCCGAGGTAAGCCTGGACCCAAGAATCGTCTTTCGGGTAGCGCTCTTGTCAAACATCCGTCTTGTGCATTCCGTCCGAGACCCTCTTGCCTTCGTGCATTCAGGGATGCTGGTGCGGGCGCTCATTCCCCTGCTGCTCATGCTGTTTGCTTGACTCTCCTGCACAGCGTCAACTGAAGGGCCCCTTGGCTCTCCCTTCATCTTCGTCCGGTTCTCCCCGTGCAGACCTTCCCTGAGGCCGAGTTTATCGGAGTGGACCTCTCGCCCTACTTCGTTGCTGCCTCCAACTACAACGTCCGGGAGAAGAGCAAGCAAGCGGTGAGCTTTGAAACGCCTCATGTAAGGCGAGCATGCCCCTCTCTGCCCTCATTGCACGTCACAGGAAGAGGCGTAGTGTGCTACGTCTCTCAGGTCAAGTCGTTGATCTGTCACGCCTTGTCCTTCTGGATTAAAGTGCTGGCCTCAAATGCTAATTCTCAAATGTTCGCTCCACGCCGCGCACTCCACTACTCCATCCCCCAATGTTTCATTCTCTAGGCGCTTCAGAAAACCAACAGCTCACTCCACTGTCTCCCTACCCTTCCCAACCTGCCAGGGGCACGAGCTCCCCTTGCATTCACTTTTGAGCCACCATGATCGCTCAACGTAATCCCCCATACACATCCCAACCATTTCAAACCCCAGGGACGCGAGCTGCCATTCACGTTCATCCATGCGGCAGCAGAGGACACGGGGCTGCCTGCTGGCTCGGCAGACCTGGTGTCCATCTGTCTCGTGTGCCACGGTCAGCCACGAAGAAGGTGAGAGAGTGAGGGACAGAGAGGGTGGGATGCGTGTGGGTGCGAGGCAGCAGCAACCAGGAGAAGCTCTGCCTGCTGGCTCCGTGGACCTGGTGTCCATCTGCCTTGTGTGCCACGAGCTGCCACGATCAGCCACCAAGAAGGTGAGAGCGTGGACGTGTGTGATGGCTGGAGAGAAGGAGGCGGGCATGTGTGGGTGGGCGTGGCGGAAGCACCCTAACATCCAGCTGCCTGCTGGCTTGGTAGACCTGGTTTCCATCTGCCTTTTGTGCCACGAACGATCAGCCACCAAGAAGGTGAGTCCGTGGACGTAAGTTCAAGTGCTAGAGCTAAGTGCGAGATTGTCAGGTTCTGTATGGCTGTGCAATGAGTGGCAGAGGAGGCTGGGCTCCCGACCTCCTTCCACCCCTATGTGGAGAAAGACGCTGGGGCAGCCCTGCGTCCTGCGTCCGGACGCAGCGTCCGGACGCAAAGACGCAGGACGCGCGTCCGGACGCAGGACGCACCCTGGAAAATTTTTCGGGCAGACCGAGATTTTTTTTTTTCGCGATCGCGAAATTGACATTCGCGATTTCGTCGCGAATGTCAATTTCGCCAAAATTCGACACCCCCCAAGCAAATTCGACCCCCAAAACCAGCCATCTAATTCACCTTGCTATGAAAGTGTGTTCGCGAATGTCAATTTCGCCAAAATTCGACACCCCCCAAGCAAATTCGACCCCCAAAACCAGCCATCTAATTCACCTTGCTATGAAAGTGTGTTCCCCCCCCCCCCCCCCCCTCCCCCCCCTCTTACCCCCTCTTCCCTCTGCCCTATAACTTTTTTTTTGGCTGCCTGGGGGGTTTTTTTTGGCTGCCCGGACCTGCGTCTTTTGCTGCGTCTCGGGGGCCCTAAACTAGCGTCCAGCGTCTGGACGCATGCGTCTGGACGCATGCGTCCAGGACGCTGGACGCGTCTTTCTCCACATAGTTCCACCCTCGGGCGTATCGTCCATCCATCTGTCCGGTGGCCGTGTGATGAACACCATTCGTTGTGTCGGCCCTAGGCGCATATCCGAGTGTGCTACAGGGTGGGAGTCACAGGGGAACCGATGGCTGAGAGAATTGAGCCGTCTCACCTTTTAAATGTAAATACTTAAAAGCATTAAAAAGGTTGACCGTCTCAGCCGTCTCAGCCGCAGCCCAAGTTGTTCAGGATTAAAAAGGTTGACGGGGAGGGGGTTCAGTTTTGGGGTTGTGACGAGAGAATCTATTTCGCCAAATTCGAACAGTGAACAGCAGCAAGATTCAAGTCAGTCATCTGCTGCATTTCATGCACGCCTTTCTTGCTCTTCATTTCTCTCCTTCCCTCGTGCATCTCACTCTACCAGTACCCATATTTTCCGCATCCCTCCGTGCGCACACACACACACACACACACACACAAACACACACACACACACACACATAGACACACAGACACAGACACACACACACACACACACACACACACACACAGACACACACTAATCCTCCATCCTCTGACTCACGCCCTCCCTGTCACCAACCTTCATTACCCCTTAGTCGTCGAATCATGATGCCACGAGGGGGTGGGGTGTGGTCTTGAGGCATCCAGAACTCCCTTTCCTGAGCCCGCCTCACCATGACCATACCCTCACAGTGCTCACATAAGAGAGGAGTCGCATCAAATCTGGAGGCCAGGGAGCGCATTTTGAGATACGGCAGAACCCCTTCCTTTCTGAACCCGCTGTATCTCACCCATCCCCTTGCACTGCTCTCAGGTTCTTGAGGAGGTGCATCAGATTCTGAGGTCAGGGGGGGTGAATTGAGGCGTCGCAAAAACCTCTCTATTTCTGATCTCGCTTCACCATGACCATCTCCTCACACTGTGCAGATCATAGAGGAGGCGCATCGCATCTTGAGGCCAGGAGGCGCGTTTGCAGTGATGGAGATGAACCCTCGCTCGCCCTTCTTCCAGAGGATCTCCAACAACCCCTTCACCTTCGCCGCCGTGCGTGGGCTGCCATGCTGTGCTGCCGTAGTGCTGTGCTGATTTGCTGATGTGCTGCTGTGCTGCTGTGGTGTGGTCTTGAGCATGTACCTACTATCCTGGCGGTTTGCATGTTCATTGCTGCCATGGGAAGTTCTGAAGATGTCCAGCTGCCTGTTTGACTCAGCTGTGTTCCGTGTGCTTGTGCTTTCTTCTGCACTTGCTCACTACCTGCTCCTCTTCTTCTCTACTCCTTTTTTCTCCTCTCCCTTTATTTCTTCCTTTCTTTTGCGTGTGCAGTTCAAGTAATGGAGCAGTATTGGGACGACTACCACACGTTCCCATTGAGGGCATTGCTGCTGTTGCTCACTTCACATCCTTCGCCCCCCCTTCCTCACTTCCCCTCCCTCGCATCACCTGCAGTTCAAGGCAACGGAGCCATACCTGGATGACTACCGCACGTTCCCCATTGAGGATGCCATTGCAGAGAGAGGCTTTGAGTACCCGCAGCAGATGGAGAGCAGCCCTCGCCACCGCTGCATTGTTGCGCACAAGCTGTAGAGCTTGTTTGAATATGGCCTGAAGTCTGGAAAGATTACCGTATGCAATGCAAAGTGTAATAAAGCGGGTGAGGTCTACCCAATTTGATGGGTCACAACAACAATCACAATGGGTCACCATGCCCAGCAGGGGAGGAGATGAAGGTTTCAGATCACGGGGTTCTGGCTTGGGAGTTCAAGCTGGTAACTGCATCCTTAGAAACGGCACGAGAGCAATTTGACCGATCAGCAATTGGTAGCCAACTCGTTCCACTTGCCTTGCTGCAACAAAAGTGCTCATTGTCCTGTTTATGATCAGTAGTCAAAATCCCAATGAAAACTGAAAAGCTTACACTTTTCATTTACAGCATTGTGATTTCACGCATGCTAAGCAAGCAGCCTGGGAGCATCAAACGCAAGGCCCAGCAGTGTGGCTTCAGATGCCTTCAACCTTTTAATACTCTCCTCCAGCCGAGCCCTACGCTGCTGATCAACTGCCTTGAGAGCCGCGATCTTGGCAATATCTCCACCGTGAATCTCCCGCCACACAGCGGTGTCAGTGTCATCCAGGAGAGCAGTCTCAAGGCACATGCGAATCTCCATGGGGATCGCGTCACACAGCCGCTTGTGCATCACCTTGGCATACGAAAACATGTTGATCTGGAGATCCCTTGCTGCCTGATCGTCATTGCTGATCAGGTTGGTGAGTGAAGCAGTGCTGGAAGCGAAATCTTCAACAGAGGGTACAGAAGGGGCGGCTTGAACTTGTGCTTGGTGGTACGCCCTGGCTTCCCTGTAATCGACCATCTTCACATGGATTTTAGATACCGTATCCATGTAGTAGTGGTTGAGCGTGAAATTTACTTTTCTTTCCTTCTTCAGCGTGTCCTGAACAAAGCGGTTTGCAGACTCTTTGGCCTCCCTCACAGCATTGAGCCCTTGCAGGTGAACCACGTATTTAGAAAGCTTGCTTTCTTGCATGTAGCAATTGGCATCGTCTCATTTCAAATGGGTATATCCTGGGGTATATCCCGCAGGCATGAGACGCCACAGCCTGCTGCACCTCGGTTGCATACGCAAAGCAGCCATTCACCAGGAGCAAGCACAGCCCTTCGATGCTATCCACCACCTCCTGAACCAGCTGTCTCACTACAGCCTGGTCCAGCATGTTCGGGAGTGATATCCCAGCCACCTCTTTCAACGCCTCTTTACACCTTTCGGTGTATACTTTTCCGAGGAAATTCGGAAGAGCCCCTCGCATCTCAGCCTCGAATTTGTTGAACCTCTCGTGCAGCCTAGCGGCGTAGTGCATTTCCTCGTCACTCTGGAACGAACCATACCTGCCGCTAATGACGCCACTCATCATGTCACGTCGCTGCTGAATTGCGGAAGAAATCACGCCCAGAGCTGCAGCGGTGGACGTGGCTGCAAGCGGGATTGTCTGCAATTCAGATTCCTTTGCTGCAAGCGCCTTTTGAATGGCTTGTCTGATCCGTGGAATGCTGTCAGCAACCCTCTTGGCCTGAATCTCCGTCAGACGTTCAGCCAAGGCGGGAATCCCAAGGGAGTGTGACTCAATCTGGCTCAACTCCGGATGGGTGTTAAAAAAAACCGCTTCTGCTCGCCTTGCATCGTCATGAGTAGCATCCGCGTCAGTCTTGTTCTGGACACACACGTATCCAAGCCCGATCCGCACGGAATTCGACTGAATTTTCTCGTAGAGCCCATCAGGCGCGCGGTCAACCTTGGTGACGACAGCGAGGGTGCGATCGCCGTCAGGGTCCACCTCTTGCGACATGACGATGGACTCGCACGTGGAGAAATCCACCTCGGCTGCTAGCACGTTCAGAATCACGCTCTCCTTCGGAGTGATGTAGTTCATTATCATTGCCTTGACCTGATTGTAGATGTCCTTTGGCTGATCTTCGATAGGAACGCGTGTGATTCCTGGCAAATCTACGAGGGTTAGGTCAGGCAAATCCGGTCGTCGCACTTCCAGGGTGATCGGGCAATTCATGACGCCCTTCCGGCTGCCAGCTAAGGTTACCGTCGCTTCGGAAATTTCCTGCTCTATCATCGCTTCGTCAGGTAGGACTTTGGACACTTTACCAGAAACCGGGGTGTATTCGATCGTAATCTCATCCTGACCGTTGACGCAGGACTGGAGTCTCAGGATCAACGGCACTCGGGTAACGATTCCCTTGCCTCTAGGTAGGTTGATTCCGGACAAGTTTTCCAGCACAGACGACTTGCCGCTGGATTGATCCCCGACGACGACGATGGTCGGCAGCTCGATGCCTTCTTCCTTGAGACCTAAGACTCGCAGCTTGTCGATTGCGTCGAGCATCGGACGGACATTCTCGTTGAAGGAGGAGATAAGCGGAACCATGGCAGGGACTGGAGGGTTCAGGTCAGAAGCCTTGGAGGTAGGACGCAGAGATGCAACCAGAGAGCGTAGCATGCTTTGTAGTGTTACTTCCTTGAGCGAACCCTTCTTATTGGCAGAAAATGGCCCGTCATACCCATAAACGGGCCCTAATCCGTGTCGCGTCGCGTGCTCGCATCGCTACTTACGTGGAGCACGTCACAAAGAAGGCAAGGTAACGGGACCGTTCAGATCTCAAACTCACGGATCACTCACAAGTTTGGATCTCCCGCAACTATTGGTGATGATGACTACATGACGATTGTCGAGGGACACTCTACGCAGTAACAGTGCAACCGTTGTGTAAAATGACGTGCAGAATAAGAACCCTGCGGCGCAAAACGAGAAATGTATCCTCTGTAGCCCTGTTTCCGGCATTAGATCGTGCTGAACGTCGTATGATGTCCTGTGCGGTTTGGCTTGCGACAAAGCCATGGCTTCCGTCTCTTTGCTACCGTCTCAGCGATTGCTTCCGTCACAGCTATGGAGCATTTGCATAGAATGCGTCCTGGCATTGAACCAATCTTCAATACAGTGTGATGCAACTGCGTCATAACTTCTGCGACAATCAGTTTATCATTTGAATCACATAGACAAAGCAAGGCAAGGAAGTAACAAAGAATATAGAGATGCTGCTGCCCATAAACAGCAGAAGGCCAGTTCTTTGAAAATGAAGTACAGAGGGTCTTGCGACTTAGGCAATAGGAGAATATAAAGCAATGCAAAATATATAAACGTGCATGGTATGGTATGCTATCTCTGTGAAGTGAGTCCTGATTACTGGATCCTGTAATTTATGTTTATTTAAGAATTTGTCTGGTCTGGAGGTTGTAATATCGTTGCGTTACATTGTCTCGAACCATAACTGGGCACAGAAGTTCTCCGCATATGATTCGAGGTAGTGATGCAAGCCATGGCTGCTGCACAAGCGAAACGCCACAGCACGTGCAACACAATGCTGGAACGGGTATACAAGAAAACGTACGCCATGTTTCGCGGCGCGTTGTATCCTTTATGCACGTTAGATTCCACAATGGCCACACTGCTGACAGTTGCGAGGAATTCTCTTCACCACCCTCAAGCATTCGTCACCGCGAATGGTTGCGGCAGCCTCTCTTCTGTGAGAAGCCCGCGTGGGCTTTACATCTTTATGACGCTGGCGTGAGCAGTGCTGCGAGTACATGACGTGACAGGTGGGCGAGTAGCCGTCCTTGGCTGGTAGGATGGGCCCGTCTGCTGCCAAATAAGACGGCCTAGTTCTGAGGTACTATAATTGTGAACCGCGCTCCGCTCTCTTGTCCCTGGTCGCTATTTCGCCGAACCTGCTCGCCTCGCCATGGTTCCTCACGCGTCCTCCTTGAACGAGAATGTCCATCTTATGCTAAGTGCGATTCGGGTTCTAGGTTTGAAGGAAGAAGGGATCGAGCTCCCGACGATCATCGTGATCGGTGATCAATCCACCGGCAAGACTTCTGTCTTAGAGAACCTTTCTGGAATCAGCCTGCCTCGAGGCAAGGGGTCCGTCGCTCAAGTGCCGTTAATCCTGCAGCTCCAATCATGCGCGAACGGGCAGGATTCGATAAAAATCGAGTACACCCCTTCCTCTGGTAAGGTGTCTAAAGTCTTACCTGATAAGGGGATGATCGAGCAGGAATTTTCTGAGGCGGCGGTGGCCTTAGCTGGGAACCAGAAAGGCGTCTTGAATTCCCCCATCACCCTGCAAGTGCAACGACCCGGCTTGCCTGACCTAACACTCGTTAATCTCCCGGGAATCACGCGCGTTCCTGTTGAAGATCAGCCGAAGGATATATACGGTCAAATCAAGGCGATGATAATGAACTACATCACTCCGAAGGAGAGCGTGATTCTGAACGTGCTAGCAGCCGAGGTGGATTTCTCCACGTGCGAGTCCATCGTCATGTCGCAAGAGGTGGACCCTGACGGCGATCGCACCTTCGCTGTCGTCACCAAGGTCGACCGCGCTCCTGACGGTCTATACGAGAAAATCCAAGCGAATTCCGTGCGGATCAAGCTTGGTTATGTGTGTGTCAAGAATAAGACTGACACCGATGCTTCTTATGAGGATGCAAGGAAGGCAGAAGCCGCCTTCTTTGATAACCATCCGGAATTGAGCCGGATTGGGTTAAGCTCCCGCGGAGTTCCGGCTCTGACTAAACACCTGATGGAGATTCAAGCCAAGAGGGTAGCTGACAAGATCCCACAAATCAGAAAGGCTATCCAGAAAGCCCTTGTTGCGAAGAGGCATGATGTAATGAGTGGCGTCATCAGCGGGAAGAATGTCATCGCCAGTGAGAAGCAAGGCCACCCTCCAAGCAACGAGACGGTGCTCTACTCTGCTAGGCTTCGCGAGATGTTCAACAAATTCGAGGCTCAAATGCGGGCTGCTCTCCCGGACTTCCTTGGTGCAGACTACACTGAAAGGTGTAAGAAGGTGTTGACAGAGATGCCCGAAATTCCTCTTCCGAACATGCTAGATCAGGCTGTGGCGAGGAAGCTGGTTCAGGAGTTGGTGGAGAGGATTGAAGCGCCGTGCCTGCAGCTGGTGAATGACTGCTTCGCCTTTGCAACCGCAGTGCAACAGGTTGTGGTGGCACATGTCAGTGGGATACACCCCGGGCTGAACGACGTCGCTCAGCTTCATTCAGGCCTGCACGCTCTGAGGGAGGCCAAGGATTCTGCAAACCGCTTTGTTCGGCTCTTGTTAAGAAACGAGAAGAAGTTGGTCTTCACACTTAACCACAGCTACATGGATACGGTCTCACAAATCCAAGCACAGATCAGCAATCACAAGAAGGCTCAGCCAGATATTGCGAATGGAAGCTCCCCTCCTGTACCCTCTGTTGAGGATTTTGCGTCCAGCACTGCTTCGCTCACCAACCTGATCAGCAATGACGACCAGGCAGCGAGGGATCTGCAGATCAACATGTTCTCGTATGCCAAGGTGATGCACAAGCGGCTGTGTGACGTGATCCCCATGGAGATTCGGGTGTCCCTTGAGACCGCTCTGCTGGATGGCACTGATGTTGCTGTGTGGCGGATGGAGGCTGATCAGCAACGCAGGGCTCGACTGGAAGAGACAAACAGGTTGAAGGCTGCTAGCTAGCCGAGTCTGAGAGTTCATTGTTTGTGTGTCATGATACTGGAGTTCGTTCAGAAGCTTGTGAACTTGCGTTTTTGTGATAGATTTGGAATTTGAAGAGATGATGCTACCCTCCCCCCGCTTAGTCATTGATATGGAACTTCTGTGCGAATAGTGACGTTCAGCGTTGTAGCTTGTGACAGGAACTTGGGATGCTCATCATGTTGTAACGAGTGTGTGGATAAGATGTTGCACAGTGTGCTGATCACTTAAGTTGAGTCCTTCATGCCTAAGTTCCCCTGCCGGTTCCCCATGTACCCCCTTGCATCTTTTCCCCACCAGCTCTCCCTCTCAATTTCCCCTTCAAATCTGCTTTGTCAGTTCCCCCTGCCAAACCCCCCTGTCAGCTTCCCTTGCCTAATCCCCACTGCCAGTTCCCCACTGCCAGCTCCCCGTGCCAGCTCCCCATGCCAGCTCCCCGTGCCAGCTCCCCATGCCAGCTCCCCGTGCCAGCTCCCCATGCCAGCTCCCCATGCCAGCTCCCCTTGCCAGTTCCCCTTGCCAGTTCCCCTTGCCAGATCCCCTTGCCAGTTCCCCTTGCCAGTTCCCCATGCCAGTTCCCCATGCCAGCTCCCCATGCCAGCTCCTCATGCCAGCTCCCCATGCCAGTTCCCCTTGCCAGTTCCCCTTACCAGTTCCCCTTGCCAGTTCCCCTTGCCAGTTCCCCATGCCAGCTGCCCATGCCAGCTCCCCATGCCAGCTGCCCATGCCAGCTCCCTGTGCCAGCTCCCCATGCCAGCTCCCCATGCCAGCTCCCCTTGCCAGTTCCCCTTGCCAGTTCCCCTTGCCAGATCCCCTTGCCAGTTCCCCTTGCCAGTTCCCCATGCCAGTTCCCCATGCCAGCTCCCCATGCCAGCTCCTCATGCCAGCTCCCCATGCCAGTTCCCCTTGCCAGTTCCCCTTGCCAGTTCCCCTTGCCAGCTCCCCTTGCCAGTTCCCCTTGCCAGTTCCCCTTGCCAGTTCCCCATGCCAGCTCCCCATGCCAGCTCCCCATGCCAGCTGCCCATGCCAGCTCCCCATGCCAGCTGCCCATGCCAGCTCCCTGTGCCAGCTCCCCATGCCAGCTCCCCATGCCAGCTCCCCTTGCCAGTTCCCCTTGCCAGTTCCCCTTGCCAGATCCCCTTGCCAGTTCCCCTTGCCAGTTCCCCATGCCAGTTCCCCATGCCAGCTCCCCATGCCAGCTCCTCATGCCAGCTCCCCATGCCAGTTCCCCTTGCCAGTTCCCCTTGCCAGTTCCCCTTGCCAGCTCCCCTTGCCAGTTCCCCTTGCCAGTTCCCCTTGCCAGTTCCCCATGCCAGCTCCCCATGCCAGCTCCCCATGCCAGCTGCCCATGCCAGCTCCCCATGCCAGCTGCCCATGCCAGTTCCCCATGCCAGTTCCCCATGCCAGTTCTCCCTGCCCACATCCTCCCTGCCCACATCCTCCCTGCCCACATCCTCCCTGCCCACATCCTCCCTGCCCACATCCTCCCTGCCCACATCCTCCCTGCCCACATCCGCCCTGCCCACATCCTCCCTGCCCACATCCGCCCTGCCCACATCCTCCCTGCCCACATCCTCCCTGCCCACATCCTCCCTGCCCACATCCGCCCTGCCCACAATCCTCCCTGCCCACATCCTCCTTGCCCACATCCTCCCTGCCCACATCCGCCCTGCCCACATCCGCCCTGCCCACATCCTCCCTGCCCACATCCTCCCTGCCCACATCCTCCCTGCCCACATCCTCCCTGCCCACATCCTCCCTGCCCACATCCGCCCTGCCCACATCCTCCCTGCCAAGTGATTCACTCACGTCTGCTGTGTATTCATGTGTTCACTACTCACTTCCTTCCCATCACAAGCTGTTTTCGTTTTGCTACTATCACTGTCGCTCTACTCTGCCTCCTCTTAACCCCCTCCCCCCTCCCCTAACCCCAATCTGTCTCGCCATATGCTGCTGGTGACTCTTCTTTTTAATACAGTTTTTGTGATCAGAGTTCTCTTAGCTAGGGCTTCTTTTACTCTCTTTCTTACTTGCTTAAGCTTTTCTCGAGTACTGCTGCCCCTCCACCATGAGTGACAACGTACCGCCTCCGTTTTTGGCTCCATGATGCGAATAACGTCTGTGATTCGAATGGGGCTGCCATTTCCCTTGGCACTCTACCCTCCACTCCTGGAACCCCGCACTTTCTCGATTGACACCATCCTTTTCCCCGCTGGCTCCCCCCACCTTCCTCCGAACCTCCTCTTCAACCCGATGCCAATCCCAAGTTTGTGGAGACGCCTCTTTTCTTCGGCGCTTAAACTCCACCCCCCCAACCCCCTCTCCCCAGCCTCCGCTCCAAATCCGCGGAGTGAATGCTGCAGGAGGCGCCCAGCTCGCCCCCAATGAGGTTGCTGGTTGATGTGAGTCAGTGGTGACCTGCAAGGATGAGTTTGAGATGTATATGGATGTGGTATAGGGAGGGCGGCAGTGCGTGTGCTTGTACTGTAACACTTCTGAGGATTTTTTTTGAGTGATACAAAACTGCCGGGATGCGTTTTGAGGTTCATACGGGTGTGGTATAGATTGGGTGTCATTGACTGTGGCACACGAGGAAGTTATTAGGTAGTTCTGGCTGTAGCGCCATCTGTGATGTTGTTTGCAGGTTGTCACCCCTTCCTCTCAGATTATCGCCCCTTCAACCCAGGTTGCTGTTTGCAACTGCGGATGGATGGACATATATTTCTTTAAAAGAGCAGCTGCGCAGCTAACATACGCTTGCGATTCTCTGCTGTACAATTTGTTACGAAACGATCTTAGCTAGGCGCTGGGTTTAACTAAGTGCCTAGGCTAGAAGCCTAGGCCAAGCAGGAGTCGAGAGTTTTGTGCCGAGGAGGAATGTAGAGAATGAGTGGGTTTCACTATAGCACACAAGGTACATATAGCAAAATGAACAAAGGTGCACCACCAAACAATAGGAACTACACTACAGTAAATCCTACAGGCAGTTATATAACATAACTTTATAATTATAATGTCAGACACACCCCCGAAACTGCCTGCAGGAGAAAACCTGTGTAGAACACCCCTTGAAGGGGTACACCTGGCGCAGCGGAAGACGGCAGAGGGGTAAGTGAGGAGGAGGAGGCGAGAGAGAGAGAGGAGAGGAAAGGAGAGAAGTACGAAGGAGGAGGTGAGAGAGGGATGAGGCGAGGAGTTGAGGGGGAGCCACCTGTGGCGAAACCCTCGTATACAAAAGGGGGAGGTGAGAGAGTGACGAGGAGAGGAGGTGGGGGGGAGCCAAGCGCGGCGAAACCCCTCTTAGTAACCCCCAAATCCCCACACCCATTCAACCACCCCCCCCCTTAACCTCACCCCCCATAACAGCCGCCCCCTGGGACCGCACCCCCTCCCCCCCTTCCTTCCTCCACACCCCTGCCCCACCCACGGTAGTCCCTGCAGAATCCTTACCACCACCCCCTCAGCCCCCCCCACCCAACGGCAGAAGCGTGAGTGAGCGAGAGGAAGAGGAGGTGGCAGTTCTGGTCCTTCTCACGGCGGCCAACCCCCCAACCCCCCGTCCCCGCCACCTCCCCCCCACAGCAGTAGCCGCGGGAGGGGAGACGACGGGGGAGGGGGGGAGGGATAGAGGGGCGGGTGGCAGAGAGTGCGGCTGGCGCTGGCGGTTGTGCTCTGGCGGTGTCTCTGCTGGCGGTGTCTCTGCTGGCGGTGGCGCTGCTGGCGGGGTCGCTGGCGATGTCGCTGCTGGCGGGGTCTCTGCTGGCGGTGTCGCTGGCGTTGTCGCTGGCAGTGCTCTGGCGGGGTCTCTGCTGGCAGTGTCGCTGGCGTTGTCGCTGGCGGTGTCGCTGGCGTCGGTGCTGGCGGCAGTTGCTGGCGGGTCCGACGGCGGGTCCGTCGGCTCGCTTGCTTGCGGGCTCGCGGGTCCATTGGCGAGCTCGCTGGCGGGCTCGTCGGCGGGTCCGTCGGGGGATCCGTCGGCGGGTCCAACGGCGGGTTCGTCGGCGGGCTTGCTGGCGCGCTCGTTGGCGGGTCCGACGGCGGGTCCGTCGGCGGGTTCGCTGGCGCCAACGCTATCGCTGGCGACCGTCGCTGGCGCTAGCGACCGTCACTGGCGGTCTGAATGGCCGGTGGTATGCTCGCCACTGGTTGCTGGCGCGATCGCCACAGCTCGCCGCCTTCCTCGCCACGTGCAGAGCGTGGCGAGCGAGCTATGGGCAGAACGCGACAGGAGATCCGTGGGGCGCGACATGACGAGCACGATTGGTGGGCCCATATAAGAGATTCGGTCCGCAGGATCTAACGCTCTGATACGATGTTACGAAACGATCTTAGCTAGGCGCCGGGTTTAACTAAGGGCCTAGGCTAGAAGCCTAGGCAAAGCAGGAGTCGAGAATGAGTGGGTTTCACTATAGCACACAAGGTACATATAGCAAAATGTACAAAGGTGCACCACCAAACAATAGGAACTACACTACAGTAAATCCTACAGGCAGATATATAACATAACATTATAATTATAATGAGACACAATTTCGATGGGCGCAATCTCAAACGCGGTTCAGCACGAAGCAGCACAAGTCTGAGGAGAGGCTGGTCCGGTACGGGGCCACAGGGAGGAACACAACCTAAGCCGTAGAAGCGCTTTGCTGAAGCGAGTCCCATAGTGCTTGGCCCTCCTTGAATCCTGAATTCGAACCAGACAAGAGAGACAGGTACACGACGGAATGTCACCCCCATATCGGGCTATATATAAGGCTGTGCGCAATCCTCAGGTCAAAACAAGTCAACACAAGTCTACTCATTGGTAGTCAGCTCACGTCAACAAAAAAAAGCTCCAGACAACTCAGCTCAACTCACGTCACAGCTGGTCTCACACACTCACCAGCAATGGCTGTCAGGGGATGACATACACGCCAGTCATGATGACCCAGTGCACATGTCGCCATAGACCAAATCATTTGAAGTCAGCTCAAGTCAGCAGGCCATCAGTCCTCATGGCACTCACCAGCAGTGGAGGCGAGGGAAGCGGCATGCACGCCACTCATGACACAGTGCACCGTGCACGACTCGCCACAGTCCAAGTCTGGCAGGAGCTTTGGCGTCAGCAAGAAACACCTGCCGGAGGGGACGTTGGTGCACGGGGGAGGACGAGAGAAGGAGGGGTGCACATGTGACAGAGGATTATCGCGGGCACAAACAGAGAAGGAGGGGTGCACAACGTTGCTCATTGGGGCAGTCCATGGCTTGGCTTGAGGATGCCATGCTAGACACACATGGAGTGGTGGCCTGTGCTACACCTGGCTACACCTGTGCTTGAGATGCTTCAAAAGTTACGCGTTTGCTACGATGTTCGACCTATGCTGGTTCCAACCCACTGCGGGGTCTTTGCCCTCCCCATGGAATAATGAAGGCCACTCACTGCGGGGTGTGGTCGTGGGTGGCGGCGCGCACGAGCTGTTGGAACATGTTGCGCTCGTTGGTGGGGTCCATGCCCTGGTTGATCTCATCCACCACTCGGAACGGACACCGTGTCAAGTCCTGCAGCGACACCAGGTACAGGATGGTGGACACAGAGCGCTCCTGGCATGGGACAAGGGAAGGGAGGCACATGGGAAACGGGAGGAAACAAGGAACAGAGGGATTGCATGTCCTGGTTCGGAACGGACAGCGCGTCAGGACCTGCAGCGACACCAGGTACAGGATGGTTGAGAGACCGAGCGCTCCTGGCATGGGGGAAGGGAACAAGGTTTGCGGGATGGGGAGGGTGGAAGATACAGAGCGTGATTTCATGCCGTGCCGAGGGGATTGAGCATTGTGTACGTTAGGTAGTGCAAGGAGAGCAGGTGGAGAATCGTGGACCGAGGGGAAGGGAGAGGGGGGTTGAAAGCAAGCAAGTAATACAAGCAGCAACACAAGGAGCAAATTTAAGGCAACACCAGCAGGCGACACACGCTACAGATGGACAGCACAGCAAGAACCCCTTTAAGCAAGAAACGTACCCCTCCGGACTGGTGGTGCGCACTCAGGTCCTGTAGCTCTGCACTCTCCCTGACGCATGCATTCATCACCACATAAAGAGCACAAGGAAGGGGGTTAAGGAGCAGAAAAAGGGGCAGGAGGCCAAGGGGAGGACGGTAGACGATGAGAAGAGATATGCGGCAACGTGCAGAGACTTGTGAGTAGGACTGGATGAAATGTGTGATCACAAGGGCTTTTATTCTGAGGTGTGGGCATTTACAAGAAAACGCATGTGTGTGGGAAAGGAACTCAACTGATAGGGACAAGTGCGTGGGATGGGAAAATGCACAAGTCGATGCGAGTTTCTGACAAATTGGCATTGGTAGGAATCTTAGGGAATTCAAGGGACCTGCAATGATTTTTTTTTTGCAACTCCAATCGAGCATAATCACCACCTAAAGCTGAATCACCTGAAGCTGTATCGCCTGAACTTGACTCGGATCCGAATGCCGTATGAACGAAAGTCAGCGCCCCTTTCATCTGAAGGGAGACAAATAGGGGAGGTGCGTCGCAATTTGTTGGCTGAATGATGGGCGGTGGTGAGGGTGAGGGTGGACTGCATATGGCCATCTGTTAGCTGAAAGGTTCTTGAAATCTTGAGGTTAATGATTCTTTGGCATGGTCGCTTATTGAGAATGAGAACAGAAAAGCTGACATCTTCCCTCACTCCCCCTTTCAAACCTACGCCCAGCGCCACTGCCTCTGAGTAGAATCAAAAGCACTCCATCTGATGCCATGCCATCGACTCAGAATTACTGCCTCCTCCACCACACCTTCTCGCAGTTCACTCCCTCACTCCGCGCCAGCCTCCACTCAGCTGTTTCCCTTCCCACTCACACGTTCTCATGCTTGCTTCCCCCCCCAACACCCTCTCCCCCTCCGCTCTTCCCTCGCTCACCTAGACCCACCTCCCCAGCAACAACCATTTCCTGGAAGTTTCTGGAGAAGGCCTCGTTGATGCGAATGATCAGCGAACGGAGGCGAGGCAGCCAGAGACCCTGGGATGGGATGGTGCCACGTGGCAGATAATGATTAGATGGTGCCACATGGCAGATAGTGATTAGATGGTGACACGTGGCATATGGGGATGGGATGAGACAGGTGGCAGAAGAAACAAAAGGAAGCACATGGCAGATGGAATGAGATGATGACACGCGTGTTGTAATTTCATATTTTATACAACATACATAGGCTAGAATTAGATGTGTAGCACATTTATAAATTGGGGGGTTGTTTAGTGTACCCTCCAACCACATTTTGTGGTTGGTTGGGATTGGTCCTTAACTCAACCAATCCCAACCAACACACATTTGTGGTTGCTTGGACCACAAGCAAGCTCACCCATTGGTCAACATATTGGCCAATAGGATAAGCTTCCCTCTCATCTCTCTCTTGCTCATTGTTTGTACTAAAATGCCTCTTGGCTCATTATTCAATTCATCAATTCTCTCATTATTAGCCCAGATCTGCCCTCCCAGCGCCCAGATCCGCTCTCCTCGCGTTCAGATCTGCAACTCCAGCACCCAGATCTACTCCTCCCATGCCCAGATCTACTCCTCCCGCGCCCAGATCTACTCCTCCCGCGCCCAGATCTACTCCTCCTGCACCCAGATCTGCACATTTCGTTACCAGATCTGCACTCAACGCGACCAGATCTGCATTCCGCGCATCCAAATCTGCGCCCTGCGCGCCCAGATCTGCATACCTCGCGACCAGATCTGCACTTTCCGCACCCAGATCCACTCCTCCCGCGCTCGGATCTGCCACAGGGCTGCCCTCCTCGTTCCTACCCACAGCAGCATCATCAGCGGCATCTGCAGCGACGCCAAAAGCAGCACCCTTCCCCCTGCCTCCCCCATAACATCGCTCCCCCCTCCTCCTCCTCCACCTTCCCCCACCTTCCGCTCCTCCCTTCCTCCTCCCATCCTACCAGCAGCAGGATCAGCAGCGGCACCAGCAGCAGGACCAGCAGCGGCACCAGCAGCAGGACCAGCAGCGGCACCAGCAGCAGGATCAGCAGCGGCACCAGCAGCAGGACCAGCAGCGGCACCAGCAGCAGGACCAGCAGCGGCACCAGCAGCAGGACCAGCAGCGGCACCAGCAGCAGGACCAGCAGCGGCACCAGCAGCAGGACCAGCAGCGGCACCACTAGCAGGACCAGCAGCGCCACCAGCAGCAGTACCCTCGCCCCATCCTCCTCCTGCCCTAGTTTCCACCCACCCTCGTCTCTATGGCATCGTCGGATTCTTTCGTCGACCTTGCTACTGTTGATGCACTCGAGTTGCTACCCGACAACACTGCTGCCAAATGGCACTCCTACGCTCACTCGGTCGAGGTTCTCCTCTCCTCTGTTGTGATCAGCGGCTACAACCTTCGCTCGGTTGTCTTCCAGGAAGGTGGTGGACTTCAGCCCGTGGCCCTCACCGCTCCCACTGGACCTGTCCCCACCCACCCTGGCGCCGAGCCCTCTCCCCCTGGTGATCCTCCCACCTTCGCACCGAATGTCAACGATCCACAGAGCTCAGAGACCGCCATCCGCACCTACCGCACCAATCTCCAAGAGCACCTGCGTTACGAGGACGAGAAGCGCATTTATGACGACGCCGCTGCCCGCTACAGCAAGTACCAGAAGGACCTTGACACCTACACTGCAGACCTTGCCGACTACACCACGAAAATCACTGCCTGGCGAGTTGCCGATCGGCGCGCGCTTGCCATTCTTCTTGCCACCGTCCCCTCCTCCCTCAAACGCGAGCTCTCACCTACCTCCTCCTCCCACCTGTGGCGACTCCTCGTCGACCTTTTCGATCGGCAAGACGTTGCCACCCTCTACGCCCTCATAAAAGAATTCGGCACTCTCTCCATGGACTCCACTTCTGGCGCCGCTGCCTTCACTCGCCGTGTCCTAGACCTTGCTCGGCGCCTTGCGGCACTCGATGTGGTGTACCTGGACATTGTCATCTGCTGCCACCCCCTCGAGGGCCTCACACCTGCCTTCGACGCTCACAAGCTTGCCTACATGCAGCTTCTCTCCAAGCACCATACCCCTGCTGAAGTCGCTCAGTGGATTATCACCACCGAAGCCGAGATCCTTCGCCACTCTACCTCCACAGTCGCAGTAGCTCAGCCGCGCAGCAGCAGGGGTGGGCGTGGCGGTGAGCGTGGGGGTGGGCGTGGTGGTGGGCGTGGGGGTGGACGAGGCGGATCACCGGGTCGCGGTGGTAGTGGTAGCGGTGGTGCAGGTCGCGGTGCGGCAGCT